ATTAGAAGAAAGAACAATAAATATATTATGATATATTAAGTACATATAAAAAGCTCTAAAGATTGGACATGTATTTAAACCAGAACAGAACAGAAACAGACAGAAGCGCATTTTTTTCATTTTCATCGGTGCAAAAATAAATATTTACACAAGCTTAAATCAGATAAAAGATGGACTTTCACTTCCAAATTTTAGCAAAGTTTAAACAAGTAATCTTTTTCCCGTCGCAATTTTTTAACAATTTCGAAAAGTTTATGCATAGTTTGGTCTGATTATAATTAATATCGTAATATAACCCGTCGATATATCATTAAAACATGGACATTTATACAAAGTGGGAATTCGTCATCGATGTCTTTTGTTATTTCACAGAAAACGGACTATTACTCGTATTTTGCGGTTAATTATTTAATTCATACCCGTATTTGTTTGTACCGTTGTAATGAATTTTGAGCTGACACTCTTAGTTTTACTAAATAGGTTTTAAAATCAAAAGGTAATTATGATCAGTGATAACTTTCATATTCAATTTATTCTTTTAAGATGGGTGATAAAGGTTTAACATTGTGTTACTGACTTTTTACTTGCAACCTTGCCAGGAAAATACAATTTTTAATGCTGTCTAAAAATTATTAAAAACGGTCTTTTCTTTAACAAAATGAGGATTTATCAAAACCATATTATATCATTTTCACAAAATAATTTTTTTAATTTGAGGACATTTTCTTTATTACATTTATACAATTCTTATATGGACTATGTTATTATACAGTTTTTCAAAATTATATTATCTGTACTGATTAAGTTTAAGCCAATAATTTTACATATTTCTAATATTATCTCGAATATTACAAATGGATATCTTCCCAACTTCGCCATAAACTGCAACATTAGGAGTCGACATTTTAACAAAAAGAATTTTCTTACAAAATTTAAGGTGATTTCTTTTTCGATTTATTTTGATTTTTGGTAAAACACCCATATTTCACTTGAATAATTTTAGTATGATCCAACAAAAGAATCAAAAGTATGAAAGAATTTAGGTTTCATTTTATATTTTTGACATTTAATAATAAAAACATCATTTTGATTTCAAAGCTTTACGAGTTGTTGTTGATTTAATGCAAAACTTCCCGTTATATTAAAAACAGTTCCTAGATAGTTTAAAATCATTTACAACTTATGCCAAATTGTCCATTTATACACAAAGTACTCATTATTTTCTAAGTCCCCCACGTTTACGAATTCCATTAACCTTTGGTTTTTTGTACATTGACTTAACAAGACTCCATAGTTTGCAATACTCAGAACAGTTAATATAAGATTAGTTGTTAATTTCTACGGAAGTCTTCCCAAGAATAACCATATAATCTGCAAACAAAAGTAGAATAAGAATAATAATCATCAATATTTACCACCTGGAATTTTATAATTTGCAAAAAATACTCTAAGTCTTAACAAATAGTGAAAATAATTACTGGTGAAAATTACTCCTTTTTTTGGTTTTTTAAAACAACGCATATTTTGAAAAAATCAGAGTTACGAATTACATCGACCGAAACATGATTTTTACTTTTTTTCATACATCCTTATTATTTCAAATTTTACACGTTAACCCATTGCTATATACATTTAAGCATAATGCGTTTCTATATATTACATCATATTGCCATTTTTAATCAACAATAAACAATATAATCTTTTTCATTTTATTTATATTTTGTTAACAAATTATGCAAAATAAACAAGCATTCAAGTTGAATCGAATAGTTTTCTGAATCCAAATGCGATTGATATGTATTTTTCTCATTACAATATTTAACAATTCTATTATTAGTATTGTCGTAAAATAATTTCGAATCTACAACTTACTAAAGTAAGTGGCCTCTTATAATTTTATTAACATTGTTTTTATTCTCCTTTCTTTGTGCAATGGTACAATAACCCCTTCAGGTCCATCTTTCAGGGGAAAAACGCCTATCAAATAAAATAAAAAATATACATATCTTTGCGCTGCCAGTATATCTACGTTTTCAATAAATATTCATTCAGCCAAAATAATCGTTTCCGCAGGATTTATCACGCTTTTAAAGATTTAACAGGCGATTAAATTCGTTAATAGTTAATTGAACTATTCAAAACGTCAGTGTTTATCATCATTTTTCTTAATTTGAGTTTTAAAATTATGATTTTGTTAGAAAAATCTTCTGCTTCCATATTTTTCATTTTTTGAAAATAATCATTTAACTTACTTTGATAATATGTGTAAAAGCTTCCAAGCGATACTATTTCATTATTTTTTTTAGCTTTAAAATAATTCAACAAATCTTTAGGCCTCGCGCGGAAACGTAATTTTTCGATATCGATACTTTTTTTATTCAATATTTTTTCTTCTTTTTCTTAACTATTTGTTTATTCTGCTTTTGAGCATTCAAATGCTCCTCTATTATATTCAGTGGTACATCTTTTTAAGCACGCTGCCTGCTTCTATCTACCTTTTGTTGCATGTTTACATTCAAGGTCAAACCATTCTTATCATTAAGGTTCTCGAATTATCTAACAAAATGTACATTCGCGTCGACTTTGAAATAACGTGTAAACGAAGGGTAGTCTTATAGTGCCTGCGGAAGGACCGTATCGGTGGAATCATCTTTAAATGTTATTTACAGCAACGACTATTTATTTTGAATGTACTATGCTCTCTGTTATCTCGTTGAACTTGCGGTAAAACTACCAATAATACCACTGAACGAATTCAGATTTAATTGTGTGACATCTATTTCATAAATTCTTGAAATATATTTTACTTCCGGGGATTGATTACAGTTTATATTAACGGAAATCGGACAATGGCGCCCCTTATTGAAGTCGGTATTTTTAATCACTAATATTTACAAAAAAACGCTCTTCGCGAGTAGTAGTCAATTAATGATGCCCCTTGACGCGATACAAATGTAAAGCACCAATACCATAGTCATTACTGATCCGACCGTTAGCTATTCGACAGCACGTAGATTTGCATAAGTCAAGAAGTTTTATTCCGTTAGAATTACACGTTTTATCACAAGAGGCCCTGACGGAGGATATATCGGGAATATAATCATCATTATCTATAGACTTAACCCATTGCTTCATGAGCATTTTGTGAAAAATGGCTGTTTTCATTGAAAAGTCTCCCGTTACAAGTTCAAATTGCTATAATACTATAAAAACTGCTTCAACACTAATCAAACTTGGCACAAATGTTGACTGGACCATTGCCCTTGCAACAACATGCTCAGGCTTAAATTTTCTGTTACCATGGCAACGAGGGGACATCTCAAAATTGCCAAAAATCACTATTTTGCGTTGATTTTTTCCATCAAAATTGATTTCAAAGTGCTGCAACTTCTCAATGGATTGAGATAGAGTCAAATGCATTTCAGCGTTGGTTACACGTTACCTTATGATCAATCTGGGGTCATTTACAGCCTCTCACAAGTCCAAAATTTTCTTGGCGATGAGGGGGACTCTGCCCCCCTTCAAACCCCCCAAACAGAAGGGGGCACATCCCCCTTCTGGCAACCCCCTGATGTATCTTTTGGTTGGGGGGCCGCGCCGAAAAAGAGGTCACTTTTTTTAACAACATTTCTCAAACAAAAACAAGTGTTTGGGGCCTAAATAAGGCATTTTTTCATCATTTGAGACAACAAAAAGGGGGGGGTGAAAAAGGCGTTAAAAGGCGTGTATATGAAGTAATGGGTTAACAGAAAATGATGAAAATACTTGAAATTACCCTAAATCGCGTTTTTTCATGTTTAAACATGGCCTGTCATATAAATTAGAAGAAAAATTGTTGTTTTGTAGATTTTTTTATTTTTTTCATTAACCCATTGCTTCATGAGCATTTTGTGAAAAATGGCTGTTTTCATTGAAAAGTCTCCCGTTACAAGTTCAAATTGCTATAATACTATAAAAACTGCTTCAACACTAATCAAACTTGGCACAAATGTTGACTGGACCATTGCCCTTGCAACAACATGCTCAGGCTTAAATTTTCTGTTACCATGGCAACGAGGGGACATCTCAAAATTGCCAAAAATCACTATTTTGCGTTGATTTTTTCCATCAAAATTGATTTCAAAGTGCTGCAACTTCTCAATGGATTGAGATAGAGTCAAATGCTTTTCAGCGTTGGTTACACGTTACCTTATGATCAATCTGGGGTCATTTACAGCCTCTCACAAGTCCAAAATTTTCTTGGCGATGAGGGGGACTCTGCCCCCCTTCAAACCCCCCAAACAGAAGGGGGCACATCCCCCTTCTGGCAACCCCCTGATGTATCTTTTAGTTGGGGGGCTGCGCCGAAAAAGAGGTCACTTTTTTTAACAACATTTCTCAAACAAAAACAAGTGTTTGGGGCCTAAATAAGGCATTTTTTCATCATTTGAGACAACAAAAAGGGGGGGGGGGGTGAAAAAGGCGTTAAAAGGCGTGTATATGAAGTAATGGGTTAATAGCAGTATCACATATAATATAATCCGCCTTAAGACCTACCCGACTATTCCAATCGCCGATCAAAAATACAGACCCTTCATTTTCAACATCAAATAAATCAACGTTACATACATAATAAAATGGCGATCCTTCAGGCCATATGTAAACCCCACACAAATATATATCATTTTCTATATTGAAAAAAAAACTTATCTATCTTTAACCAGATAACAGAATCGTGATTATTTCTAACAACTGAAATACCTTTTTTCAAATTGTCTTTAACATAGATAACAACGCCTCCGCTACATCTTTTAGCATTTCGATGTTGATATTTTCGATAAAAAATTATATGATACATAACCTTCAATATCTACAATACTTTTAGAATTTGTCCACGCTTCAAACAAAAATATCACATCATTTTTGTCAATAATATCTACAAATCCTTGACATTCTTTTTTCACGTTCGTCAGTCCGTTAACGTTCCACGCCAACACGTTCAAACCACCCCCTTCGTGGTCCTAGCTTCGTTCATCGCGCTGCGCCTTTCCGTTTACATATAAAGTATCATATGAGATCCAAGCATTATGACCGTTCCGCTTCGCTTCCTTCATCTTTGGCACCAATTCTCGCCTCTTTGCAATAATTTCCTTGGGGAATTGTTCATGAACATAATATTTGGTTTTATCTAATGTTTTCCATTGTTTTCGAACTAATTCTCTTTCTTTGAATAGTGTAAATTTCGCAACGATATTTCTTGTTCTACCTGGTATTTTATTCCCCATCCGATGTACTCGCTCAAACGCCATTCTCTCCACCTGCTCTTTAGCTATCTTCATATTTTGCTCCAAAAATTCTCTTAACTTTTGTTCCGTATTTTCCAGCACCCCTGACGGGCTTTCGTCGATGTTCGCAAATACAAGGTTATTCCGCATTGACTGCGATTGTAAATAGACAATATCATCTTTTAGAGCATTATTCTCTCTTTGCATTGTAATTAATTTATCATTCGTTAGGCCTAAATTGAAATCGGAACTTTCTGCCTTTTCTTCAACTACCATGAATCTTTCTTCAATTTTTTTATTTTGGTCTTGGATATTTGTCCACACTTTGTTTATTTCTTTTTCAAAATTATTTACTTTTTGCTCCAGAACATCTAGTTTATCTAACTTTTTTTCCATTTTACAAATTTTTTCATCTATCTTTTTCAAATAAATTAACAAATCTGCATTTGTGGGCGAACATGTTTCACCAATAGCATTTATATCATGTCCCGTATTAGTTGGTGGGGTATGCACTGTTGCCATATTTCCGTTAATTGACGATTTTTCATTTATCACACTGTCTCTACTCTGATTTAAACTATCTTCTGTATCACTACTGTCATTAAATAGCACAGAATTTGCCGTTTTTAGAATACTACTGACACAAACCTGCTCTGGCGAAGTTGCATATCTTCCCGCCTTACATATACTGTCATTATTGTCACTGTTATCACTCTTTTTACGCTTATTCTTTTGTTTTCTACCCATCGAGTACTTTAACACTCAACACTTAGGTATCCATTAAAAGATATAACATATTAAATCATTTTATTCCATATACATTTCACATTTTTAAAATATTTTTTTCTCCGCCAAAAATATCTGTTTACACTTGAAATCACGTGACCTAATACTCCTAATATTTAAACATATCGATATTTATTAAGATATATAAGGATAATTTAGACCGGAATATAGTTAATTACATATACAAGGTAGACAATGATACCTTAGGTACGGAAAACACGTGTATTATACCGCTATAAATACTGCGCGCACCTAACTAAAGAGTTTTTCACGAACTTCATTAATCGCTTAAGAACTTATTTATTAAAATATCTGGATGGAAATTTCACTGTATGATAGGTGAACATCTTGCCTTTAAGAAAAAAAAATATTATAACATATTCAAGAGTGTGCTGGAATTGTAACGTATAAATACATGTATTTTTCGTGAAAAAAAAAGCTTAAATCGGAATGAAAGGGTGGTTGAATTTTCAAATATATAGATATTTATTAAGATATATCGGGATAATTTAGATCAGAATAATGGTAATTGTATATACAAGGTAGACAACGAAAGCAATTTATGAAATCTTAGGGAGGAAAACCGGGGCGGGAAAACACGCATATAGTTCTGTTCTTAAAAACCGCGCAGCGTATTTAAGTCGTGTGACTGATGAAAATTTCACTGAATACTAGGGACAATGTTATATTAAAGAAAGACTAATAGATATTATAATTTATCTATCTATATATCTAAAGAGGAAATTATATGTACAAGGTAAACAATAAAAGCAAACTATGATATCTTAGGACAGAAAACAACAACAACAATTACTTTTATTAATATCAGATTACAGACATGTAATAGCATGATTCATTTTGTTTTATATTGAAATATGGGTAAATAGATGGGGACAGATATATACAAAGTTAATAAGTAAATAACATGTCAATCAATTTAACACAATATTTAAAACTATGTTCACCGTATTAATCTCATTATCTGTAATTTAAATGGTCGGGTAAAGCGCGATAAGAAAACAAAATAATGTAAGGAGAAATGGATCACGTGGAAAGCGTGCTCAGGAAAGGTATTTCATTGACTAGTGGATAGGTTGGGAGAATTATACCACGAGGAAAAACATAGTGGAAAACGTATGTCATTGACTGGGATATTTTAGAAAAGGTAACAATGGATATTACATACTACATGGTATTTAAGTGATAGAGAAAATAAGTAAACATTAAATGACAATAGTAAATAAGTACGAACGATAGTGAACTGTATTATCAAAAAAAACACACATGTATACCTGATAGAAGTACCGGGCGCGGCAAAAATAAGTTTTCCACGAACTTCATTGGTTTCGCGTAAAGTTATACAGTGATATACTTTCATGGAAACTCTACTGATATATAGGTTGAAGCATTGCAATTAAGTTAACAATTACATTATATAATATATCTATATGTTTGTATGGTACAAGACTTTAAAATACATGTACATATCGAAAATTGAAAATTCCGAAAAATCAGAAGTCGTAAAATCTCGTCTGCATATTATGAAATAAGGGCGTGAGACCAATGTCGTAAAATGTCAGTTTGATCACGTTGACACAATTCTCCGGCGACAATTCGAACTAAATGTTATCATATCAAGCTAAATAAGATAAATAAAGAAACAATCGATACGTTGGTACGACACTGTCTGTCATTCAAAATGCACATAATTCAAATACATGTACGAGGTGCATGGTGAGAACATATAATGGTGGAAATGAACGGAAGCTATCTATAATCACGACTGTCCCACAATTATATGCTTATTACGGGACAGACACGTTGGGAGGGCTTTTAGAACAGAACAGAACAGAACAGAACATATCTTTTATTTTCACCCAAGCATTTTTCAATACAATATGGGGGCATAACACAATTTTTATATAACAAAAAATGCATAGTTCCGGTACGAACAAAAAAGTGAATAATCATTTAACACATTACATTGCCAATGAGGGTGTCGGGCTATTGCCGATTGTATGATGAAAGCATTATCCAGGGACAGGGGTGCGATTACGCCTCCTTCGGAATCAAGTATATTAAATGATGATAGTGCATTAATAGACAGAAATGGTGTTGATACTGTTCAAGAGATGTCGTAAAATGATAAAAAAAACACTGTATGGATTTATTACATGCTTTTCAGTGAATTAAAAACTGATAATTTCACTGATTTTAATTTAAGTCCCTTACGTTGTTTGAGTGAAATACAAGCGTTCACAGTGCTTGAAACCACCTTAATGACGTGACTTCGTAAATGACGTCACGTTGTATAATTATTTGGCGCGCCTTCCATTTAGTATTAGGTTAAATGTCATTTAAACGTTTATAATATAATACAAAGAAAATGTGTTACACTGAAATAAACAAATATTCTCTATATATAATATTACTTCAACAACTGGACAGAAATTCAAGGGATGGAAATGTCGTTGTCTTCAAGGTTGTGTAACATTTCGATATTAAATCATTGTTCCAAGTATATTAAAAAAAAAATGTTTTATAACAATGGCTGTTTTTAACATTTTTCGAAAAATCATTATTACGGCGGTTAACGCGGTTTTTAAATATTTCATCTATATATAAAGCATCAGATTTCCCTTGTTAATTGATTTTTAGTGTTAAATAACATTATTTTTGGACCGCTTTTCTACAATAAATACCCCCAAGGAACATACAGTAAAGAATATGCAACGGTTCTCATTTAGATAATGTTTGTCCAGGGTTTTGTTTTTCTATAGCACATGATTAATTTGGCGGAGCGATAAACCGTTTAGCGTCTGGTCAATTCCGCTGCGTGGCAGACTATACCTTTTACAATACTGTACAAATGTGCATGCTATGTTAATGTGTTAAGCGACGATAATTTCCATTACGCCGCCTGTCAATCAAGCTGGCAGGGGTCACAGAGATAAGCTAATCAGCGATCGTTATCAGTTTCACCCTAAGATGCCTACGAAGCCCATCATTTACCTTAAATAAAATAATGGTGCAGAATTAATTAAGATTGAAATTATTTTCATTTTATATAAATTTAAAGCTATTTAATCGGTATATTACATTATTAATAAAGTTACCAGATATACTGACATATTGACATATCGAGTAAGTTAGTTTATTATACAAAAGTCAATTGATTTCTACAAATGGAAATAATGAGTTTTGTAGTGGGTACAAAACATTTATCCTGGCTGTAGCACAATGCATTGAAAAATAAAAACGTTTCAATAAATCCACAATTTTTGCCATTACCTATTCATAATCACATTATAAACATATAATAAGGTCCCAGAATATCCAAAAGATATGACATTTTGTAGTTTATAACGTATAGCGTCAATAAAAACGCAGCCGTAAAAATGCAAATGTAATGAGTAAACACAATACAGTAAACGTTGAGGAAACGAGGCGCTGTGAATATCGGAACTCTTTAAATACCGGACAATTAATTTAGTCATTCATTAAACGATTGCATGAAACATTGACAATACCGGAATCTGTAAAAATCGAGAATTGGGAAGATTAACAGTATGAAGTCAATTATATAGATAATTACCCTGACAATACCGGACGTCGAAGGTGTGAATAACCTTGCAATTGTCAATTGGTTGTTTGTAATTCGCTAACTGAGCGGTAACTAAATAGTAATTGTCTGATTTGTTTATTATGTCTCTTTTTACAGTTTGATTTACTTTGATTTATATTTCTTTCTTTAAAACATTAAAAAAGTGTATTATTTTTTATATTTCTGTTTAAATAATGACTTAATGACTATTAATACTGCATTATCTTTTCAGGACTTACAACCGGATCATATATATTGTAAAATATTATTTTGTAAACCCCTTATGTATTTTATTAATACCTGGTTGAATAAATATATTTGAATTGAATTGAATTGTTTATTATCTCTCTTTTCACAGTTTGATTTACTGTAAAGCATATATATCACCGTTTAATAGTTATGCCTAAATGCGCAGGTAAAATCGGTATGAATAAAAACACAGATTTTTTTATAATGCGTTGCTTTTGTATGTAAATTTCCGTATGTAGAAATTTATTGACTATTTGTGTAATAAACAAAATTACTCGGTCCGTCAATATGCCAGTTTATTTGATAACTTTATAAATGAACTAATTAAATAGTTCTAAATTTACATAAAATTAAATAGACAGGAAGCTTGTCTTAGGTAAATGGTAGACTTCGCAGGCATCTTAGCGTGAAACTGATAACGATCGCTGATTGGCTTATCTGCGTGGCCCCTGTCAGCTTGATTGACAGGCGGCGTTATGTCAATTTTCAATGTCTGCATGTTTATATTTGATACAAAATAACAACTTGAAATGTATGGCTTTATGCTACTCACGCCTTACGGCAAACTTGTTTTTCATCCCTTATTACTTAATCGCTACGTCTTAAAAATCTGTATGACACCGATTAGATTACCATTTGAGCATATTACCGTTTAATCTTATAAATGATGTTTATTTTTGTTTGTTTGTTTTGAAAATTTTCAGTACTAATTTTTCATCCGACGATGACAACAATAGAAAAATGAAACAATTTCCAT